GAGGAATGGGTAATCTTGTAGATTTTTTCACGCTGGGAATGTTGGAATGGTAACTGGGAACTTAAAAATATTTTCTTTGCTCAAAAAAGGTTGAAGTGCAAGTTTACTTTATTGAATTCCATTGCAATATCATAAAGTAGATTCTTTTAACTTTCTTAGGTGGTAACAGATTTCCTTTTCTACCACAACATGTCTACAACAGGTACTTTATCTCAAATGCAATCATTGGTTGTTTTCCAGCAATAATCCAAGTCTGTGATTGACCAGACGTTCTCCAACAGTAGGCATATATCTATTAGAAAATCTATAAGTATCTCGAAACTAGTATGCAGGGAAAGCCGATTAGCTCGTATGGCACTGAAATAAATCAACAGAAACATTGGTGGTGCTGAAGAAAATGCTTTTGAAAATTTTAAAACCTTAAAACCTAGAATCAATCGTGACATTGTTCCTATGCAAAAGAGGCTGGTCTTTGAATATCCAAGAAACGTCGGCATTTAGAAAAGACTACATAGCAATTTTAGACCTTGAAGAATTAATCTTGAAATTTCCTATAGGGCCTATAACACTTGGACGAATTGGTCTCTGGATCTCCTAGAAACATGATCATTTAGAAAACCTTCATAGAAATGTTCATATATTTAAGAATTTATCTTGAATTTTCCTATACAACACTTGGACAAATTGGTCTCTGAATCTCCCAGAAACATCGGCATTTGTAGAAAAAGTTCCATAGCAATTTTCAAACATTTATTATCTTCACTTCCTACACGACACAACAGTTAAACATACTGATCTATGAATCTCCAGATAAAATCTTCATTTTTCTCAGTCAGCAGAACGTAAATTATTACCTCCTAACGTCCTCATTAGGCATATCCTGATTGCAGGAAAATCTCTGACAAACCTCTTCACTGTGTAATGTTCCCTCAGCAAAGGTTACCATTATACAAATGAGCACATGATTTCTTGAACGGAAGCATTGTTGCCATCTCGAGGCTCCGTAGTGAGATATACCTCCTGCAGGACGCCGCTGAGTTTTTGTCCCGAACTCCATCACTGTGACGACCTTGCGTCTTCCTATTCTTGCGTGCCATTGACCCAAGAGACCACGGTCGAGTCACTGCAGTTCTCGGCAGACGGAAAGAGTTCCAGGATGACGACTCTTTGTCGGTGCCGTTGTCTTCGTTGAGCAATTTTATAGATAATCGAGTGGCTTCAGCCAGTTGACAGAGATAGTTCAAGATGAAAATGAACTCCAGCATATTGAATTTGGATACTGAAGCAAACTTCATGTTTACATGTAACAGCTGTTGTCACTTTTTAAGTAGGCCTAACATTTAAATAGAGTTCTAGGCCTATAGTATGAGTTAGGTTCATTTGGACATGGAGCGACTGAACTTTTTACAAAACTATTTATTCTTTATGTTTACGATCGTTTGTGATGAGACAGAACAGAAACTACTTACAACTCTCAAATTGTTTAGCTGGGTATCTGGATCTTTGAAGTGCTGGCTTAAAAGGTCTTCGGTTCAATCCTGTGGAAATTAGCATTTTGATCGTTCGAAACTGGGCCTAGCTATCCTTTGATCGTTGAGATATTGACCCTGATTAAATAAACAACTGTTCCTGATGAGTAAACAAGCTACACAGGTTATATTATAACTCTATTCCACACCCTGTATTGGCATACAAATTGCGTCGATCTCTTAATGAAGTGATTAGTGCTTCGCATGACTTACTTGAGAAATTCTGCGATCGTACACCGTTACCACACTATTATTGTTCGTAAAACTGCATTTCCCATTCCCTTATCCTTGGAAAGCACGCATTAAATCAAAACTTCACGAAATTCTCATGGGTCTAGTCTGCATTTACTTCCTTAGATCCTTGGTCACGATCACTTGAATGGCCCAAGACCGTGGTAATTTTCAACTACGCACGACGTCCATTCCCCATCCTGAGTTGACGGACAGGAACCTTGGAGACATGTTATTATCTGAAGCCACCGGCAACATGAGGTGAAGGCTATCTCTGGTGATTACACCGGTAATTCTCAAGTTTAACAGGTTGTGTAAATGTTAGTGTAATTATTGTGGAGCATTAGGAATGAGTGATAATCAGGAGTAATCCTAATCCAAGCTCCACTATAAACAATATAATGATGTTGACAATAAAACACGTATGATTGACCATAGTCAGTATAATGCCTTAGACATTCCATCCCCATGTTAAAGTTGTAGCCAGTTTTTTAATCAAATTTGTCTTAGTTGATGTGAGCCACCTACAGATTGCGCTGATCTAAATTACTGATTTCTGCCAATTACACGATTGTGTTTACCAAGTCAAACTGATGGAATGACTTATTATGAGCTATAGCAACTGTTGTGACCCAGCAACTATGTCAGGAACAAAAAATAAGGTACAAAATAGAGTTTTAGACACTAGCGCAATCTGTGACTGGCTCACACAACTACGTTCTTTTTTAGTAAAAAATTGGTGACAGCTGATCCAAATAGATGGGATGTCTTTAGCCAGTTTTTTAATCAAATTTGTCTTAGTTGATGTGAGCCACCTACAGATTGCGCTGATCTAAATTACTGATTTCTGCCGATTACACGATTGTGTTTACCAAGTCAAACTGATGGAATGACTTATTATGAGCTATAGCAACTGTTGTGACCCAGCAACTATGTCAGGAACAAAAAATAAGGTACAAAATAGAGTTTTAGACACTAGCGCAATCTGTGACTGGCTCACACAACTACGTTCTTTTTTAGTAAAAAATTGGTGACAGCTGATCCAAATAGATGGGATGTCTTAATACAGTAGTTCTAGGAACATTTTCCATGATTTAGATTTTGTAGTCTGATAGACATTAAAATTCTCAATAATTCTGAAAATAAATCAAATTACAAATCAAACATCACTTCATTTAACAGTGTGTTATATTGTATATAAAAATTGTGTACGTACAGCTTATTTTCTTTAGACGCACCGTTCTGTAAATAAACTACTATCTTTAAATCATGGGCCGCTTACAGAAACCTTGCTGGTCGACGCTTTAATAAATCTTACAATGGAGTCACATTTTACGTTTACAAGAGAGGAACTGGCTCAAATTCTGAACAGAAACGGGAAAAGGAGATCCGTAATTTAAGTCGTAAACCTTCTTCAGCCACAGAATGAAGAGATAAACTTCTGGTTAACGTTCGATGCCGGCCCGACCAAATGCGTGCACGCACCGTCACGGTACAGAAATAAATGTAATGTGTTTTTCTACGTGTGTTCTGTGTTTTATGTTTTAAATTGATGACGAATCTGAGAAGAGGATAACCTGAGGATGTGGCAGTCGCCACGAAACATGTAGTTGTTTATCTACCAACACTAAACGGATATTGTAAGGTAACAATAATAATTTAATTAATAAAGTGTGTGTGTATTTTTAGTAAAATGTTAAAAGTTTACGACGAAATTAATAAATTTTCCATATTTTGTCAAAATAATATGTTTATAAACAAGCCAACTATAACACAAGTTATTATTTACTACATAAGAATAACTTAACAGGAGAATTTTAAATTTACCTAGTTTTTATGCCCATCAAGAAAAAAAAACTTGGTAATATATGGTGTACACGCGTAAATCAGTAGAAAACAGCCGACAGCCAATAATAGCCAGCAAATAGAGAAGTTCCATGAAGAATTAAGATTCAAAAAATAATTATTACAAATTGCAAAGACTTTGTCTTCCTTAGAAACTATTATCCTCAAATTATATTAACCTGTGTAAGTATCGTAACTATCTCTCTGTACTACAGTATTATTGCCGATTGCAATTTGTTTTTCATGCCGAGCGTTCGAACAGCGATCATAATAATTATAGTTAATTACTTAATCACTCTACATTAGACAAACGCGTGCGGTTTGAGACAGATGCTTCCCATTGATATTTTGCACTTCCTCAGCCATATTGAGGGAACCGGTTTTCCAACCAGGCCGCCTCTTCAACCTCAACCTCTTCCCAACCAGATGATGTCTAAAGTGATCTGAAGAGATGATAGTGTAACATACACCTGATTATAATGCATATATTTCCGGTTTATTGAAGTGGAAATCTGTACGCTTTTCCGTTTGATCTCAATGTTAGATTCTTTAGAAAATCGTGAATAATAAGATTTTGGAATCTGCCGATAACATTCCATACACGCTAAATATAAACAAGTACCGGTAATGTAAAAAAATATGATTATAATGTTATTGCTAACGTTGATATGTACTATATCCTGTGGGGTTTTGAAACTTTGTTAACACATGATAGGCTAGTAAAGTAAAACAACAATAAGACTCAAAGAAGAAGAAGAAGAATTCAATATTTTTTTCAAAAGTTAGGCCTATTAATTTTGCAACTAAATTCCAATTGATTGTACATTTTTTAAACACCATAATATTCACAAATAACTCACTTGTCAATCAAAATTCTATTCACCGTGTTATATTGCAACAATTTTTATTCCCGTAGCTTTTTCAATGTTTAAAAATCAAAGAAAAATGCCAATGCTATTTCATGATACGATTCTCATCTTCTATATCGGAATTGCAAAAATCCTTTAGAAAAGGAATGTCAAATAGTCTTGTGCGTGAATCAAACTTACCACGTGTGTTATGTAAATGGTAAATCGTAATTCATCCGAAATTAGGATAATTTATTTATTTAATAATTATGTTATGCTCATTGCACATCGTGCGCATTTGCAAAGCAAATTACACATTGAGGAAGGGGAACTAGACGTAGTCCGTAACAACACACATCATCATAAAAACCATACAAACACAAATGCAACAATAGGATAGTTAGGAAATTGAAATTACTATCAAACAAAACAAATCCAAATCCTCAAGGAAACAAAATTGCAACAAATAGTGAACAAGGCAAACCCAAACCCCACACAAATACACCCGTAGAAAAACAAACGTGCAACAAGTATAAAACAAACTTACGTTGCAAAATGTAAATATCCAACAATGAAAACTGTCATGGTAACACAGCACACACAAAACTACACTAAAACAACGGACATTGTTGAGATAAACACAACACAAAACAGCGGATGACGGACAAACGTAAACGTCAAACACACAGGTAGACACTGAGGTTAGGTTGGTAGTGTTGTCAGTGATGCCAACCAACAGGTATCACGAGTACCAACCTTCACACACAGACAGACACACCTGTATAGTGACGATACGCCTGTTAAGGATGTTATTAGGATGATCCAGGATCCAGGACTTTATTTCAGTACAGGGACAATCATCGACCATTTGTCACTTGTCTAAACCTAAATGACTTTCTACGAGTAACGGGTTTTTGATTTGTAATTTATTGTTGTCTGGTGTTCTTCAAGGATCTCAAGAGTTTGGTATCTTAGATTGATTTGACTTCTGCGTTTGATTAAAGCAATAAATAAAAATATGCCAGGCTTTTGTAAAGATGTATAAAACAACTTTTTGGCATCAGTCAACAGTGTCGGCTGCAGGGGGCTTAAGTACAAAGTTATTCTAATTTTTTATATTGAAATATCCCACTTCATTCATCTGTCAACAAGAGAAAATGCTATACTTTACCAATACCAAATGTGGTTCATCGATTTCTCTGCAAATTAAGGGGTGGCCGTTATCTCCTTAGTGTAAAAATGGAATAAAGAAGTGCAAGAATGCCAGAATTCAACAAATAGTAGATAGTGGTGGTTTAAAGTTCTCGCATAATACAATCAGATGGTTTGATGGTTACCGGTTCGTCCTGAAAAAGTTCAGCAGCATTTTGACGGTTCGAAACTACACCCAGCTGGCAGCTGTACTTGATCATCATTGGGCTTTTCAGCTAATCTAAGTCAGTAACAATGCTACAAAAATCATCCACTTCATTTCATTCAACACCCTGCAATCATATGCACAAAAAATACGTCACTGCTTTAAGTCAACAAATAAAAATAAAAATGTCTTTGACTTTCTTTCAAATAAACAATTACAGTCATTTAAAAAAATGTCTTATGTATAATTTAGGCTGCAGCCACTAAAATAAAAATAAAATAAATTAATCCTACGAGTGTACTGGTGAGTGGGAGTAATATTGTATACAAAAATAAATAAAAACTTTTTAAACAAATTCTAAAAATCAAGGTCACAAAGTGCTATCGGAATTAGGCAAATTACAACATAAACTATCAGATTAACCTCCCACTAAACCCCTAACCACCAAAAACGTTCCCCACATGCACACAGATAGACAGACCCACATTTTCTTTATACTACTACAGTAAACATAGATTTCGTGAAGCTTACCGTGAATGGATACATTTATATTCTTCTTCTTCTTTTCAGACAGTTTATTTAGTCTATCGGTGATTTCAAAGCGCAAAGTGTTAATTGTTTTCAGTAGCGACGACAGTTCACCGTCACTGTCACTCGAAATGGATGCTACCGACTCTTTACATGTGTCACACTTAAACTGGTGTATGTTACTATTCTTCCTCTGCACGTTCAGTCCAGCACAAGTCAAGTGAAGCACTTCGCCGCACTCCGTGCACTTCACGACATCTCTCCCGCCCACTTTACACTTCGCACACTTGTCTGCCATAGTTTCGACTAGATGAAGGAATATATATTTTTAATCGGAATAATTTGGAATATCTTTTCAAGTAGTCACAGCGTACTCAGGACCGAGCTAAGGGCGATCAGATGGCGAGCCCCTTCCGCATCGGCTGCCTGATAACGACCGATGATTCTATAATTTTAATTATACTTAACCAAACCTAAAGGGAACAAGAGTACAGCATGTCTCACTACATAACGGTACACCCTGGCAATGCGGGACACTATCAATAGTGATAACAGGCCATAATTCAAAACGAAACACCATGTTGACTCTACCGTTATTTTTTCACTATCGTAAACACCTAGGTTTTTTATCTTCAATGAATTGGCACAAAGAAACGTACCAAGGGTTTTATAGAATGAAGAAGTTACAGTACCATCAAAAGTGAAAATAGCGTAATGTTATGAGCTGCTTGTTTTCAACAACTGAATTGAATTGCAGGAATAATATCCACTTTACTATCTTAATGTATTCCAAAAAAACCACCTAGTAGTTAGATATATGTTAAAAACGTTAAAAAATCGTACTCTTCTTGATTGATGGGAAGTGGAATACTCTAGGTACAATCACCAACTACAGTTTATTGTGATTCTTCCTGTTCCGAACACTCTTAATCAAACATTTCACAGGTTTCTAGACTCAAGACATGAAAATTGGCGGGAAGTGTTATCAATCAAGCGTTGCTGTTGCACTTCTGCAAATCTTCATCCGAAAGTGATCAACGCAAAAACCATGACACTAGACTGCCTTAGTAAAGCACGAGCCCAGGATGCCCAATTGATTAATTATGGTCTGATATTTGTCAGGGAAAGTTCCTTTTTGCATGACTGGAAAGATGTGATCGCTGCCCAAACACAATGGCTACTGGAGCAACATGTTTCACAATCGTCTGAACTCTGAAGTGTGTTTCTTTCTTGTCATCTGAGGTCCAGATATAAATTCAAAATAGACGATGTTCGAGGAATATGGACGGATTATAGTCAAATCAATGAATAGTGGAATTAATAATTCAATATTTAATTATGATTTGATTAATTGTAGTAATATTTCCCTAAATTATCTACAGGCCTGTCCTCAGAGGAAAAACTTATATCTACTGAAATACTCGTTTTGTAACTATTACCTTACAGTGCTATTGTTTTTGTCATCACATGGTTAGAAGACTATTGAGTTGTTTTTTTCTAAGTTTTGTTAATGGTTGGTGTAAGTGATATTGGTCAGTAGTTTCCAGTAGATGTCGTTGAACCTTTTTTGTATTTTCCATAGACTCCTGAAAATTGATTAAATATAGGGAGATGCTTTGTTTGAGTTATTAATTATTGCAAGTGCTGTTCAATTGAAGGATTAGTTAATTTTTGAGCAATTTTACTACTTTAGCCAACCTATATACTTTTTAAAAGTTGCCTCGCCAAGATAACCTCTTTGCTTTCTCAAAATGGTATCTAATACGATTCATCCGATGGACCAACTGGTATACTTTTCTATGAACGTTGCTCCATTTTCCCGATGATGCCTGTGAACACAGTTTCGTAAGTTCTGTAAAGCTTCTGGTGCAAGAATTGCCACAGCAAAATGATCGGACGTGATCGGTGAAGAAAATGCCGCAACCTCGATTAAATACTTTGACGTCAAACATAAAACTAGTTCCTACAAAACAATGATTGGGGATATCTTCCTGGAATTGCATGTACAATGTGGTTTACTAGAATAGCGTTCACATTGGGAGTTGACTCTCACAACTCGTGCTTGAATATGTAAGTCTCTTTTCATAATAAATTAGTAAACTGATACACAAAAATCTTTTCATTCTTTCTTTCGGTCCACCTACCAATGAAAACTATAAGTGTATTCCCGATTTAACATCAAACTATGGCCCTGACACCGTGCTTTCAGGCTGAGGTGTAGTTTTAGGAGGTAAATATTTGTTCGTCTCCATGGCAACAAAATAAAAGCTATGCCATCATGTTTAACCTTTGCTTGTAAGTTTCTCCTACCTAGTGGTATATTAAGCTAGCTACTCGATTTAAGCTAAAAATATATTCTGATACGTGCTGATACTGACACACACTCGTTCCAATAAGAGTGCAGTTTAAAACCACTAATTTATATAAATTGGGGTTTAATATCTTTCCTTGGAAAGACTTCATCCAGAGTAATATTTTTCCACGTACAAACATATTACTGACGACGGAAAACCGTATACATCTTCGTAATTTTTCCATCGACGTTCTTTTACCCGTTCTACATTTCACATTTTTGTTCTTTTTGAAACCAAACCATATTCGTCCAACCAGTCTTATGTCGAAACTACTCCATTTTCATCATCTCCTCTTCATATCACACCCTTCACTTAACGCATATTCAGCCTCCATTTATACTTCTTATGCCTGATTACCCAACAAGAAAAATGAAATGTGTCATGAGAAAGTACAATCTCCGTTTTCACCGTTAAGGATTACTGCAAGAAATTACCACGAGGTTCTAAGTTCAAATAAACAAAAAAGCGTCATTTAATTCATTTCCTTTCCTAATCTCTTATTTCTTACTATCCTGACCCATCTTCAGCCTCCTTTCAGACATCCTCCAACTGATTATCCAGCAGTAACGTAAATATTTGAGACAGTACAACCTCCCTGTCCACCACCAAGGTTCACTGGTCTTGAGGTTAGCTGTAAGAAACAATTTAGATGTTCTGAGCGTCCATCAACGAAAAGTCAATCAACAGAGCTGGTTTTGTGTGTATTTACACTTCATTCCATTTCATTCTAATCCAGTCCATGGCACATTTCAGCATCCTCCCAGACCTCTTCCATCTGATTATCCAGCAACACTAATCTCCATGTGAGAAAGTACCTGTGTTCACCGTCTGCATCTTCATCCCCAGTCTCGCGTGCATATCTCCATCTCTCCATCTCTCTACGGTTCTCGCTCTCACTCTCTCGCATGTGTGTCCGACTGTGTATCCTCTTATCAAACTTGTCAGGTCGTGATCCGCCTACTCGAGGGAAAGTCAAAGTGATGCGGGTAATCAAGATATAAAATAAGAATAAAAGGATCAAGAAGGACTAAAGGATTACGGCGAGGATCAAAGTGTAGGTGGATTTACCCGACGTTGGTGGTTTTGGAGCATGTGTGAGATCCAACACTAAATTTAGTGGATGTAGTAAACGTATAAATAGTCTAAATGTTACTGGTTTGATACAGGGTAAAATCAGAAGCATATTGGTGGTTTAAAACTGGACCAGCTGTTCTTGATTATTGTGATTTCAATTAATGGTGCTGACCAAAAACAGCTGATCTTAAACCACAACAAATTTGTTATCTCATTTATCGTCATTATTCACCTATTTTTTAAATGTCTAAACTCAGCTTAAAATGTGCCTTCTTGCGTAATCACACTATCATTTCAGAATTAATGGTCCATACTTAAAATGCCTTACACATTCCCCTCCTCTTAGGTGTCCTATTCGTTAGGCATGA